AGAGACATATCCCATGGACCCAATTTAAATTTACAATGCTTTATTTTTGCTGACCAACTTTGTGAAGCCTTCTAGCATCTGCTCTGAGGTGGGTGTAGACCTCTTGCGTATTAATATTGGCTAGATAATGGCTTTGGCTAGACATACCACATCCACTTATGTGCAGGAGGAAATTGAGATAATTTGATTTGATTTTGGAGACAAGGATAATTCTCCCATGCATAAGTGAAGATGGTGACTTTCTTCAAAATTTTACTTGTGATTCTAGTGAACCTTAGGGGAATTTTAATGAAGAGTATGAAGAATATGCTAGTGGTGGTGGGGTTCCATGAGCAATGTGTCGACCCAAGTGTCTCCCACATGGAATTGGAGTAATTCTTTGTTTACTCCCCCAAACCCCTAAACTTTGATGGTGTAAATCAGCAGTTAATGGTAAGCTTCAAATATCTTTATCAATTATTTTTCATGTTTTGTTATGCATCGTCCAGTGGTTACTGGTTAATGACTACAAATTACCACTATTGTCCTCAGAGGATTAAACTTCAGGCTGGCTGAGCTGGTAGTAAAACTTCAGGTGAGTGGTCTCAACTACATGAATGGTGTACACACAGATATGCATAATTAGACTGTATACTAATACACACACAAATACAGGCTTTTGTATGCAAACACATGTACAAACCCACACTATCAGTTGGAATACACCTGTACAAACCCACACTATCAGTTGGAACACACCTAACTCAATAAGGAAATGAGATTACAAAAATGAAATATAAAATCTGCTATGCAATAATGAACAAATTACAGACATGGCTAGATGACTCCTGTTTCACACTGGTTGTTTTACCTCCAGTACCAAGAATGTTACCATTTCCCACTATACACAAGGATGGCACTGCAAACTCCTCGGCTTAAGTCCATCATTTATCTACATTAACTCTGTAGTCATATACATGGATATTTGCTTTATTTCCCTCTTGTACCTTACCACTAGTCTTCCCTCTCCCCCACATCTACTCACTCGATACACTTAGTTGATATCCCCAGAGCCACTACTGTCTAAGCCTTTCCTCTTTCACTTGTGTATTTTCCTTGCTTACTTACCACATCATCTTCAATCACATCATACAGTATCTTCTTCCTTAACTCATTCACTACACTACTGCCAGGATATTGTATTCAGCACAGAGAGACCCCACACAGCCAAGGGGTTAATACCATATCCATTTCCTTAATACCACATCATATTCTCTAATATCACAAGCTTTTTACCTACTTCTATATGCTCCTCTCAAAACGACACTTCAAATGCTCCTCTCAAAACAACACTTCAAATGCTCACATTCTATTATTTCACATCTACATTTCAGAACATGAACAGCACTTATCATTCCACAATGAATATCCACAAAACAAAATGTGATCTACCCACAGTACAATAAAGGGATATTTCTCAAATACGTAGTAAGCACCACTGCTATTGAAAATAAATTTGGGTCATATGTTGTAATTAAGTTGTACTTTAAAAATATATTTGAATGGAATGTAAAATTAATTTTATGGTTTGTGAAAGGAAAGAAAAACCTACAATAATGAACATTGTTATACGTAATAACACCCAATTTGCATGTTCAGTATAAAAAAAATAATATATATATATATATATATATTATATATATACTGTATATATATATATATATATATATATATATATATATATATATATATATATATATATATATATATATATATATATATATATATATATATATATATAAAACCATTACCTTGTCTATTTTTTATTCAATGCCTAAACAAAATTGTCTGCCATAAAAACACTTTAGTATTGAATACATTTTTTAATTCCTATTATACTAGTTAAAAATAAACCACCAGGAATTAAACAAAATGGAATTGCTTAATTTTATTACTTTGGCCAAATCTTTAATAATACCATTCTTTCCAGAACTTTTGTTTACATGCACACTCACATCCCTGTTCTTTCACTACCACAAAAGCTCTTAATTTTCACTCTTTCAGGTCTTTTCCTGCACTAACACAGGATGGCCAGAATCAGGACCACATACACTTACTCTTGCCCACCTTCCATAACAAGGCCCGAATACATCTCTGATTTATCCCTGTCATTTGGCTCAATTCCTATAACTGTACTGTATTCTTATTCTATTGAAAACACTTCCCTTATTACTGTACTGTACTGGGTTACAGAGAAAACAGCAGGATACTAAAAACGATAAAACAATTATGCCATATCATTTAACAAGAAAGGAATACTGTATACTGGGCAAGGTTTCACATAAGCTCCTCTGGTTTAGCACATAGATTCTGCATGTTACGCCTCCAATATGTAACAATTACAACTTACATACAGGAGACATATTGTAAAAAAGTGGTGATTTGTATAAAAGTATTTTAGTCAATGTACAAATGACTTTATATATACAGTATAGGCATATGTATGAATGAGTGTCTACATTTACTTGGGTTACGAGTACAATGGAGTGTTCGCCTCTGTTCTGGTATCATCAACGGAACATCCACACTCGAAGGTATTTTTAGGGACGTGTGTCTTGTGTATGTTTATGCATACGATGGTTGACGGTAGATAAAAAAAAGAAAAAAGTTCATCATGATGTATTAATTTTGAATAAGTTAATTTTCTTTGCAAACATCTGTACTTCATTCCAAATCCACACAGAGCAAGTTTGATGATTTTGTCTGAACCAAAAATATAAACACATTTGACTACAATTTTCAAGATCAGTTATCTGCTATAATGTTAAATATTTAATAACACTTTTTACACATCACTTAAAGATAATTCAGATGAGTTACTTTATATCTCTGCCTGTAATCTTTTTTATATCTTCAATTAATCTGATGCTTTTAATTTCATCAAACCAATTTTTGTCTGTTAATCTTTATTTTTTTTTTTAAATAATTGTTATTTGTTGCGTTACTATTAGCATTATTTCATGACTCAATATTGGAAGAGGCTTTATCAACTAAGGCTACACCTTCCCCTGTTGTGTACTTACTGCCAGATTTCGTACATTAAGAGAAGGTGTAGATTGTTGAAGTGACGTGTGAAAGAACAACAAACATAACTCCTGGTGTCCCCGCAGGGTATCTGACTGCACAGTAAAACATAGCTTTTAGTATTTCAAAATCTGTTTGGTGAAAAATAGCAATTAAGTTTAATATTTGGGTTAAAAATAATGAACATATACAGTACAGATATAACCCATCTTTTTACAAATAGGATGTATTCCGGAAAAGCTTTCACAAATTATTACCTGTACTGAAATTTCATGAAACAGTTAGATTTATCCATTACGTATTACAAAGGGAAAAATTAGGGATGCACTTTTGGCAGTCTTCTCAAGCCTTCTAACCTAAAAACACATAATTTCCATTTAAAGAAGACTACAGTAACAATATTATTAAAAACTACAGTATGCCCAGATAATTCGCGGATGACACCCTGGATGTACACAAGAAAGTCTGTGGGTAGTTTTAAAGTTGCCGGCATTTTCGCGTCCGGGACAGGGAGACATTCGTTATAGAGACAGTAATTTCCTTTACCTGTATTGTATATACGAGGTGTGTGTATGTGTGTGTGTGTGTGTGTGTAGACACTACACACAAAACACATACGAATAAATAATAATGGGAAAATCCTCTCATAAATAATCAGAAACAAGAAAAAATGTATTAAAAATCTTAGGGTCTACCCTCAAGTCCACTCCATGCTTTGTTATTAATAAAGCACAGAGTAGACTTGAGGGTAGACTCAACATTTTTTACATACATTTGTTTCTGATCATTTGTGAAAGTATTTTCCCATTATTATTTATTTGTATGTTTTGTGTGTGCGTATCTACACGCACACATATATATACACAATATGGGTAAAAGAAATAATTGTCCTTAGGGCAAACACCTAAAGGGAGCATACATTTGTGTGTACAGTACATAATAAAAATGTAACCCCCATGAAGAGTGCGGGGAAATATGATAGAAGTATTCAAGTGGGTGAAAGGAATCAATAAAGGTGATATAGATAAAGTTCTTATAATATCCGAGCAGGATAGGACTCGGAACAACGGATTCAAGTTGGATAAGTTTAGGTTTAGGAAGGAGATAGGAAGGAACTGGTTTACAAATAAGGTGGTGGACGCGTGGAACAAGCTAAGCAACCTTGTAGTAAGTGCTGGAACGCTGGAAAGTTTCAAAGGGAGGCTAGATAGATTCATGGATGATAGAGAGTGGTAGTAACTCTCGACAGGAGCTGCCATGCACAGGCCAACTGGCCTATTGCAGACTCCTTATTTTCTTATGTTCTTATGTTAGCAAATGCTATTCGCGGCCATTTTGAGAACCTAACCCCCGCGAATTTTAAGGGCCAACTTTATGCAAATAATAAAACAGGAATTCAGATCAAAGAGATTATAACGTAGAGGAAGGTAAACTATTAGAGTGTGTGTGTGTGTGTACACCTACCTCATCTCTGTAGCAGCTGTACAGTAAGTGTCTAAGATGAACAAAACATTGTGGTCATCAACAGCAAATATATTACATCTAAATATCCTGATAATGTACAAGTATCTGGTGAATTTGTATTGAAAATAGTAATCTATTTAATATGTCAATATATTATTAATAAAAATTACTATACTGGAGTGGAAAATATTATAGCATGAACATTAACATAATGCCGGGTACAGCAGTAAGCTTCGTACCTGCACCAAGAATAACGGTCCCTAATTTTTCCATTTTGTTAACAGGCAATACTGGATACCAACAGTTCATAAAGAGAGGAATAATGTAATTGTACTGGTAACATTTTCATAAATAATGGTGTATTAAATGTATACATTGTGCATCAACTTAGAGCATCTCAGATCCTATTCCATAATAAATGAAGCACTGAAAATTAACATTATCTTTCAAAAAGGAAGAAGAAAAAAGGGCTCTAATATTCAGAAACTTTAAAATGCTTTTGTATCAGACAGTGTGTTTACTGTTATGTTACAGAAATGTTTTAGTTGCAGTACTTATAATTCAGTGGTTATTCTTAATGTTTTTAATTAAATTAGTTGCCCTTAATGTAATATGTTGTTGTTTAAAGTGTTAATATATTAAGTTTTATGAAAATCCTATCAAACATAACTTTATCGTCATCCATTGCTAACTGAGTAGTAAATTGCAAAAATTATGACAATCGCTACAATACCTAAAACAGTGTACAAGATAAACCTATTTTGTAATACCCGTCTTAACATAGTGTTGAGAACTCTCGAACTCTGGTCCAGGTCAGCATCAGTCTCGCGTAGCTGTAGAGACAGACATGTGATTTAAACAAAACTGTTCCACCAACCACTTCAATAATCAAATTTTATTACTTACAAGTTTACACACAAGCCTAGTGTTGCTCAGCCATTCCTAATTAAAGGGTGTGCTTTTGTGTCATTCCATAATGAATAAATTGTGAACACTGTGGTAAAATCCTCATCCACCAAACTTCAAAATTCACAAAATCATGAATAATTTGCAAGCTACTACTTGGAAGAAAAAAAAAGGTGAAACAAAACTGAGATTTTACAATTACTGTACATTACTGTCATTCTAATTTATTTAATTAGAATGACTTTTAAAGAGCACATGTAAATTCCTAAAACGATATTCAAGGACTGCTAAGATAACAGTAGGTATACTGTATATTTGTAATTAATCCTCCTTCGTAATAACCCTACATAATAAAAAAACACTGCATATCATACCCTTTCTCGTGCATGACTGATGGTTTGTCTCTGACTGTACAAATCATTGAGTATCTGAGCTCCAATGTGCTCAGTCTCTACAGCTATTTTGCTCCCCTGGGTAATACGTGTAGAAGTGCGTTCTAAGCTTTCGGTGTTGTCCAAGAGTGACTGTTGCTGTTCCTCCCCAACGCTCATACCAGCCTGACAGTCTTCCAAGAGTTCTGATCTCATGCTAGCTGTAGAGAATACTACATGATGATCAAATTGACACAAGAAAATTATCTTAAATTACACTTTTCATGAGGTTTATCACTAGATGCAATACTGTACTGTATTTGATATGTGGGTCAGCCGGAGTCAAGAGTATCAAAGGCATAATATTACGTGGTTGTTTAATATTTCCACGGATGAGGTACTATGAGAGGTGAAAGCCAGAATATTGGAGAGAACTAATACGTTTGGTGAAAAATAATGTAGGGTGTAAATGGAAGGTGACCCAATAGATGACACTGCTCTAGTGGGGAACCTGGACAATAAGTTACAACTATTAATAGATGAAACTGAAAGTGCATACAGTACCAGGAAGAGTTGACAGTGAATGATAACAAAAGTGATAAATGTAAATAAAAGGATAAAAAAAAATGATTAGCTGAAATGGAGGAGGTGGGATAAATCAGGTGATGAATTACGTTATAAACAAACAATAAGATAGACTAGGGTACTATACCTCCCTTTGCACCTCCACACTATGGCAGATGTATAAATTTACCAGCGAGTGTTTACCTTCATTAGACATGGAGGACTTGATGCGTGAGTACTCTCCCTCTAAGCGCTTCAGCTCAACTTGATAACTTTTGAGTCGTCCTCCAAGTTTCTCCCTCTGTACAGGCTCCATATCCCGCACCTCCAGGTCCATCCTCTCCAGCTGCATCAAGGATAATTATTTTTACATCATCCAGTCTTAAGTTTGATCTGTCTATTGTTTCTTATACTTTCAATAATTATGTGCAATAGAAAAAGGGATACAGAGAACTCAAAGAAAGCAAGACACTGCTTAATTATAAAATGGGAGTGAAAGTGCTTAAACACCTACCAATTCTTTTGCTTCCTCAACCAGCTTTTCCACATCATGAATCACTGTTCTTCGTTCAGCTGGAAAGGAGTAAAAAGTCAGGATTTAGCTAATTCATCACTTCAAGTTCCAGAGGAAATATAAAGAAAAAATTGGTGGTAGCACTAGCCTCTAATTTTCCAGGTTTAGAAGATATGCGTGAAAGTTACTTCTGAACCCCGAAGCCCTGAGTAACTAACTTGCACATTTTGTACGTTATGTTCCTTGAGGCAAGAAAGATTGCAACTTCTATGGAAAAAATTTGTGATCTGGACCAATGTGGTCAAGTATTACCAATATTTTTTCTAGGTAGGTGCACTATTATCATAACACATAATCGAAATGGCAAGTACACTGTGTGCCAATATTAAGTCACTGAACTCTGTCTGATTTTAACAGGAAAACACTATTGAGCACGGCCATAATTATGCAAACTGTACATTAATTACTGTTATTTATTTCTTCTAAAATCAGACATAGTTCAATGATTGTTTATCTGGTAATGATGGAGGAGACGGTTAGCAGTCGAAATTACTTAGCTATGGAAAGCACCAAAACCTCTGGAGATGTTAGCTTCATGATACTAGACAAGAAAATGGAAAAGTTACTGCACAGAACCTGACCTGACCAACCTAACCCAACTAACCTTACCTAACTTCTTAGCCAGGGGGGCTCTGCCCCCTAGACCCCCCGGCATATTAAGCAGAAAGAACTTACTTTGATATCAGGTACCAATGAAAGCACTTTTCTTGAAGCAGCATTGTGTAATTTTGCATCTTGCGGACGTAAGAGTATGATCAATTGTTGCACTGATACACATATTTCTTGTTCACTGTCAGTTCTCTGCCACATTTTAACACTTGTCGATGGTCTTCATCCTCCACAAGCAAAGATAACTTGTGATACAATATGGAACACGATGCAATAACAACGCCATTGAAAAGTAAGATGACTAGCTTGTCCTTGCCCTTGAGAAGAACAATAATTATAGAAACATACAGTTCACTTAGAATCCAATGCTACTTGAAAGAAATTGGAAATGTTGGAATCCAAACCCATAATATGGGATTCAAAGCCGACTACTGTATTGTAAATTAATCTCCTTTATACATAGTAGATTTCAAAATCACATGGGCGACAGAAAAGGGGATTTGTGCAAGCCATAAACAAGTAAACCAGGAAAATGAAGCCAATAAAATTGAAAACAAATGGCAATCAAACCGATATTTATGGTATTAAAATCCCATGTGAAAACAACAAACAGTGTCATGGGAGACTTCCTGGTGGAATATATACTGTTAAAAATGTATTTCTTCCCCTTCACCCTTCTCACTGCAGGTTATTTATGATCTTAGAGAGAAAAAGGGATGAAAGCTTACAATTTAAGGACAAATATGTTGCATCATTTTCATTACTTACTATCATCCAAACTTGTGGAAAATATGAACGAATTCCTTAAGTAAATTCTACTGGCAACCATCTCCTCCACTATTACCGTTTTTTTTTCTAAATTAATAAATTACCAATGGTACCCCGGGACAACATAAGACTAAAGCAGCTAATTATTAAATTTCATAGTTTTACCACCGCCAATGACTCGACTTGGGCAACTATCGAATACAACTTCTTACATAACTATGAATCTATTTATAAAAACAAAAAACTTTTCTGGACTCTAATCTAATCATGAAGGACTCTAATCTAAACTATTAAAAGACTTTATTTGAAGATAATTAAAAGGTCAACGTTGAACTGGACGGCCACGTATACATTTATATCCAAGGCATCTTATTTCACCACAGCCAAGAAGATTTAACATTACACTATTGCTTAACGATCTTACCTCCTTCTCTCGAGGGTAATATACATATTTTTGAGGTTATATCAGCAGTTACTGTGGCGAACTGCTGCTCGAACTCCGGTAAGAGGTCAGCCATGATTGTTTACCACCAACTTGTGAGTCTGACACTCTGAACCCCTGAACCCTCCTAGAGTAGCCAACTGAAGAATAGCCCCCCCCCACCCTCTTCCTTCCCTCACTAGTTTTGGTACAGTGTTATGTAAATTAGGACACGAATCTATATATATATATATATATATATATATATATATATATATATATATATATATATATACATACATATATATATATAAATTTTTTTTTTACTGGGATTAGCCCACCCGGGCACAGCTCACTGACCCACAGCGGATTATTTGTATTAGTAACAAATAATAATATGTCCATGATAAATTTATGTAGATGAATGCGTTTTACAAAAGCAAATAGGAAAAAGAACAATTTATTGTAAAAAAATCCTCCAATAATATGGCTCATAAAAAACTGTAGGCATCTGCCATACTATACTTACTGTAGTGTTACAAATATACCATATAACCATTTAATATTACTTTCTATTGAAAAAGGACTACCATAACCAACCAAACGTGAAATAATCATAGCTACCATAGAATCATAGTTAAATTACGTTTATGATGTCTAGTTATTTACTCCATTTCAACAGACTCTTATATAGTCTTTACATATAAACGATCATGTGTGCGTTGGTCGTCTCGGTGTTGGTGTTCACACGACCTAAAAGGTAAACACTCACCAGCTGAAGGTGTTGTTCTGTTTCTAGCTGGTATACTTTATTTTATCTATTATTTTTTTGATTTATATGTTGGTATGTGAGTACAGTTAGGTAAATCTTAATTGTAGAGGCGACACTTTATCGTCAGTTGAGATTTGGGCTAAGTTATAGGCCTTAGGGAGGGCTCTGGACCAGTCTGGGCGAGGAGCTCCTATTGTCTGGTTTCATCAGTGACTTATAATGTATTATACAAAGTAATAATTCTGATTTATTATGACGAAGAGTATCGTGCTTGATTATAAGGTAAGGTAATATTAAAGGTTGAGTTGTTTTAACTACCTACTGTATTGTATCATCATATAACTTAATGCTATCTTATTTCGTGACAACAATAAAAGTTCTAGAACAATTAATTTAGTGTTCAGTCTTCGTCGATTTCATGAGGTAATAAAAGTATTTATAGTCCCATGTAAGTGAAAAATCCGGTAAATTTATTGTAAAGCACCGTTCATTCTTTGGATATTAAAAATATGTTTTTCCTGTGGTTTTTGATGAGTTTCGAACGAATTTCATATTTATTTCCACCGGAAATCACTCGTTTTTAGATCCCCCCCTCCAACAAGGGAAAATGTTGGAAAAATTAGTTTTTTGTTAGGTAGATGAGAAAAACAGGTGATTTCCAATGGATATCAAGGCAAAACTCATTCAAAACTTATGAAAAACCATAGGAAAAACATATTTCTAAAACTGAAAGAAATATAACTTAATCTATCCCTTTTTTGTTAAAAACCAAAAAACCAAACAAAAAACAACCAAACCCTTTGTTCATGCCCCCCTCAGCTGAAGAAGAATCAGGCCAAATGTGTTGTTCTTCACACAGTGCTTTACTATAAATTTACCAAAAATTCGCCGATAGCTTGATTATTGTGGGAGGAATTCATTTGATTTTGGGGACTGACCAGGATTCTTTATTGGATGTTAAGATAAGACATTTTACCCTGGGTGCTATATTATGCTCTGATACCTAACAATACTGTATTACAGATTGTAATTTTGTAACTGGGAGATGGACACGTTCAGGGATTATCTCCCGCCAGAATGGAACAACGAAGAGAGAATGAGAGTGTTGCTGGGGCCTATGCCTGTGGCTCAAGATACAGTGGCCAGAACTGCACGCTGTACCTTCTGGTCAGCTGCCATTCATCACTGGTGCAGGATGACTCACAAACTTACATTCACCCTCCTGGTAAGTGACACTACTCATTCAGGCATGAGTTGTAGTTATAACTTGGAGGAGAGATTTTGTATACATTATGATTTTTTGTGATGGGGGTTTTCTTGTAGGTAGGCAAGGACACTCACTTTAGAAATATGAAAGCATAATAATAGCTGTCAGGTACCCATCACACTCAACTGAGGGTCACGCTGGCATCACAACCACTTGGAATTTTTTTAATAGTATGACTTCATAGTCTTGCAGTCGAACATACAAACCATCTTTCACAAATACAAAATTAAACAATAGACTGTTACATAAATACCATTGTTTGTTTAGGTAAATAAATCTGTTTATTATAAAAAAAGTATCATTGTACAGTATATGTGTTTCATCTTACCCCTACAAGTAAAGTTTAAGGGAAATATACTGTATTTTGCTACTTTATTTGTAAATTGATTGTCTGTAAGTACTGTACATCCGTTGACAAAATATATTCTTCATGGTAACCTGAGTTTCTTTGTACCATCTACTGCAAAACTTCACCTGTACATTGATCTTGGGATAAAAAAGTAATGTCATATGTAGTAATTAGAGAGATGTATTAAACACCATTTTGTAATTGTAATTATAGTTACCCGCTGTATTTTCTTTCTTTTGCAGGAATGTCAAAATGCATTTCGTCGAGGTACTCAGACACCGCTCAGTCTTCCTGATGTTCTTCTACACATGAACAGGTTATTGTAAAACTATTGCTTTGTTTAAGATAACTTAGGTATCTTAAATATGTATAGTTGTATATCATTAGTTTATAATTTTTCTCTTTTGACACTTTTGTATTAATATTGAATATATCTGCAGAGATAAAATTTTGAACCCAAATAGTGATCACTTCACAGTTCTGAGATTAGCAGTGAGTTGACAACCTAGGGGTCCTGGACTTGACTTCTACTAAGAGACTGGTAAGAGACATGACTGACATGAGCTAATAACAATAGTACAATCACATACCCATGTTTTTCAATTCTTATACAGTACAGTACAGTATCATTCTTTTAGCGAGATAAAAATTTATGATACCCTGTATAGCTTTCCAGTAGTATACCCGTATTGAGCTCTATCAACATTAATGCTCTGTGGAAAAATGAAGTTTTATTTTTCCTATGTCATTTTTATCTATACTATAGTACAGTACAGTATACTTGTTTACAGGCTGGGGGATATACTTCCACTGGACCAGTTACCAGCAGAACCTACACCAGAGTCTTGGATTAGCTGGGGTCACCGTGTGTTTGTAGCTAAGCCATCTCACTTTGCATGGAATCAACTGAAGCAAGTTATTGGCACCAATAATTTGCAGGGGACATTAGTCAATACAATATTGTTACAGGTAAGGTCAGGCAGCTTACTATAGAGGACAAGAGGAGCTAAATGTATAGAAAATGGTCATGACCAGAGTTCCCACAGTCTTGCTGAGCTGTTATATATGTAGGGGTACAGTTACTCTTTTTGTAGCTGTGTGATACAAAATGAAGTGTGCCTCATGCTAGATCTAGAATTTGACAAAGCTTCATAAAGTTACTGCAGAAAACCTGCACTTTTAAAAATAAAATAAAATTAGCTCAGCACATGTGGATGGCAGAGAGCACACTATTAAGTACATTCCACTGTCTGTACTCTAATCATAAGTCATCAGCTGGTTATGTGTGTGGTAATGCTTACTTCTGCACCCAGGATAAATATTTAAAACTCAAAATGTGTTTAAAAGAAAGTATTGAATCTTTATTCATCTTATTTTCATAATTTAATTGTAAAAGTTTTATTCAGTTGTATAGTGTTGTGTCTCAGTAGGTACTGTACCAGGTGTTGTTGTCAGACATCATGATCAATAAAAACAAATTAAAATAATTAAAAAATTCTGTTTAGTGTAAAATCAAGTAACATAATAAAATGACCTTAGCAAATTGCCATAAACCTAATTCTGTAGTTACAGTAGTTGTATATGAGAATTTGACCTAACTGGCAACTTTGCTGATCAGTGAGACTAACTTTGTAATAAATTGTGCTTAATAACTGAGTGCATTAAATTGAACTGTAATTTACTCTTGGAACTCCAGCATGAACATAGCTAATGCTGTATTTTTTTTATTGGGGTGCCATTGCTCAGAAAATTATTATAAACAAGAGTGATTAGAAAATCATCTACAATAATGTTACTCTCTAAATTTGTGATCAACTCTGAAAAAAGTGCATTAAGTAATTCAGTCCTGTACAGTATATAATATGGGGGTGAAGGTCTCAAGAGTTCTTAACACCTTGAAGTTGAAAGGAATATTTCTGGGCTTTTTAGAGTTAATTTCTGTCTTTAATTCTCCATTTATAACAATAGTACTGTACCTTTTCTTTAAAAAAATCAGATTTGTTAGTGAATCATTCAAAACCAAAAGTGCCAAATGAGTCACCGTCTTACATAACACAAATGCATATACGTACTGTAGATACATGAGACTGTTTTCTTGTAGAACATGTGTGATGGTGTGATGAAGAGATACTGGGAGTTATCTAGTGGTGTGAAATATACAAGTAAACTGGTGTCCCTGGCAGAGCTGTACAATCACTTTGGAGTGTGTGTTGGGTCACCAGAAAACTTAAATCTTGTGGTTGAGACACTGGTTAAGTGTGGAAGAGCTGCAACTGTAATCCACAATGGCACATTGTATGTCAAGTTTGCCATGCTAGGAGACACAAGCAAACCCACCATCACTCAGACTGAACTGGGTAAGTCCATAACATGAAGTGAAGTAAATAGATTTTTTGTTATGATAGTTGATTGTTTTTGCTTCCAAGAAAGTGAAAAAGTTGAGCAACAAAATTGTTCATTTACTGAAGTTCAAGTTGTCATGAGCAAAGGCACAAAACTAATTTCTGTGTAATTTTCACTTGCATGGAAGAGTTTGTAAGGATGACAGGATCAAGTGACATGCTGCAACTTAAGCAGTGGAAATTATTTCAGCGGAGTATGACCTACAGTGTGCCCAGCAGCGAGTACAGGACAATGTGGCACAACTCGGTGATGAGATGACCAAGTTACAGCTGGAGGCTAAGTGTGCACTACAAGCTGGCTTCAGAATAAAGGTGCATTATGAGATCTTATATCTGTCACGGTTAATTGCAAGAGATGTACACACAGTAAAAAAAAAAAGTATCACGCGGGGGTTGGGGGGGTGTCTGCTGACTTCTGTAATGATGCACACATCACCTGATGTGCTGGGAGGGCTGGTATGCATGCCTGTATGACAAAGGTTTCCACCTACCTATGGTAGGGCAACAGATATGTGAGGACACCCTCGCAAGGAAAGCAGGACTACCACCATAGTACAGGACCAACGCTCATATTCCACTTATCCCTCGTCCGTGGTGTCATATTGTTTTGCACATAATCTGTGCGGTACTTTTTTTTTACTGTGTGTACCTGTGTTGTATGTTCCATAACTGACCATGACCATAGAATAATAATTTTAATTTTTGACCTTGGAATAGTAAATATAACCTAAATTCATAAGAGCTTTCTTGATTTCGTCAGTGGAAATGACTGTACTGTACCTGGATAGACAGATTTTCTCAAAACCTCAGACAAGAAATGTCACTTTAGTAAAAAAAAATGTGTAGTTTGACCCTTTAGTGAGCAAAGTAGCCCATAGGTAATTTATTCTGGCTAATGCCAGACAATTTGATTCAGTTGGGAGAAATCCCTGCCATCTAAAGGGTTAGAACCTATATCGATTGAGGGCAAAATGGGGTGTCTTTCCCCCATCCCCACCCAGGTCTTTGACAAGAGTTAAACCTTAACATGAAGATTCATGAGGGATGGGTGTGTCCTGAAGGTTATATATATCCAGTACTTGAAGACTGCCAAGTAATTTTTTTTCCTTCCCATTCAAAGGGTAAACTCCAAACATGTTTGAACTTGGGATCAAAGTCAAACTTCCCAGGAGGAAAGTCCAGAGCACAAATGAGCAACAGTGCTCTGATATTTTAAACTGTTTTGTCTTTTATGTACAGTTTAATTAATATTTTACTCCAGTATTATTAAAATAAATTGTATTCTCTGCTAAAGAATATTTTAGAAATCATTATTTTATAGGCCTTGTCCATGTTGAGGAGGAAGAAGAGGGTTGAGAAGTCTTTAGCCACACAGCTCGGGGCACTGGAGAATGTCACAACCTGTCTCCATCAGCTACAGGATGCTGCCATCAGCAAGTATGTACTGTACTGTACTGGTTGTGGGAGACAGGGACCATAAGTCTATAAAGAACATATTTAGACTTCTCTGAAGTTTGAGAAAAAGGACGTTGTGAAAGAGAATATTTTAGATGATCAGACGACCCATTAAGGTTCAGGGAGTTCTTAATGGGATATAGCTTCAAATAATACATCAATATTAAAATTATCTGTCACAGGTAAATATAGATCACAGAAAGGAAGGAAGAGCTTTAGCAAGTTTGGTTAACAGACAGAAAATAATCAGGGAGTAACCCATTGTCATTCAAGACATCAGTGAGATCATTGACCAGCATATTATACTCTTAAAATACAAAAATAGGAAACAGACAACAAAAAAGTATTAAAAAAAAAGCAAATGCTAATTTCCTGTGCATCAGTTCCCACTGGTTATAGGTTGACAACTCTAAAATGAGAAGGGTGAACTTTGTTTGGGGGTACTGATGTGACTGTTGGCCACACATCACAGTACATTAACACCCCACCACAAGTTACAAGCACTGCTGGGATATGGTGACCTTTTAGCTAGGTATTTATTGTTAAAGTTGATCTTTGACCTCGTCATCTATTGGGATATATTTATAATTATTGGATGGTTGTTTGGATTTAGGATGTACAGCGCACTGTACCACTTTTATGGGATGGATTAGTCCCATACCTTACCACTTTTATTGGGATAGTTTGAGTGAGAGAGGAGATAGACAAAAATTTCTTTGTCAACTGTATTGGGTAAGTTTAAAACTAGGAGTTGCTTTGTCTCTCATTTTATATTGAATTTTTTACTTCCCAAAGGCAAGTGTTAGGAGCCTTTCAAGTGGGTGTGGAGGCTCTCCGTGCCATGATGATAGGAGATGCCTCAGCTGATGCTGCTGCCATCACTATGGATGATTTACAACAGGTGATAATTACTTACATCTTAGAATATAAGCACAATAAACCAGAAATCTGAATAATCCTGATGCTGTCTGACCTATCAGTACAGGGTATTAATATTTATTTTTCTAGATTTTGAGAATACTGCAGTCAATAGAGAAAAAGAATAATAACTTATTGGTTATGAACCATGATAGCTAAGTTATAAGTGTGTCTATTTGAGAATTTCATACATGTGTTTCCGGTAATTGTGTGTAGGTTATTCCACTAGGAAACTTGCTCTTACAATATGCAAAGGTAACATATAATTTTCTTGTATTGTTGTTCTTAAGGAGTTGATTAATGTTTACTAAAATTATCACATTTCTAGTGTAGAGTTTGTCATGTAAAGTTAACTGTGGCTTAGAAACAGAGATAATGCATTGGTGGTTTTTTGTATATTTAGGTTCTGGATGAATGCCAAGAGGTGAGTTCAGTGTTGGGGGCGGGAGTGATATCACCCGAGGCTGAAGATGACGATGTTTTACAAGCTGAACTGAACCAGCTGGTGGCACAACACCAAGACTCACAACAACTGGATCAGCAGCTGGCAAACAAAATGGAAGGTTAGTTTACTACAATGATACTGTATGACTTTACATATTGGGTTAGTTTATGATAAGTTTACTGTTTTACACACTCCATGGGCTGATGTGATGGAAGGTTGATAAAGATCCTGAAAGTCAAGCTTATTTGTGCAGCTGAATTGGGGTAATTTTTACTATATAAGGTGTACTCTTAATTTGTGAAGTGATGATCTTAGTTGGAGATAAGAAGGTAATTTTCCAGAATGAAGAGGAATTATCCTAAGATGTATATTTGATATTAGTTTGCATTTTCAGATCTGAGGCTTCCAGATGTGCCTAAGACAAACCCCCTGACTTCCATGGGCACACCTCCAGAGAAGATGACTTGAACTACATTACAAAATACCTGGAGTAATGAGTGGCAACCCTTTCTGTGATGACGTGTGTGATGGAAAGTTCAGATTCTTTGCAGTGTTTCTACATGTGGTGCCTTAAATGATCAAAATGACTCCCGGGTAGTTAAATAGTTAATCCAATCATTTTCAGCCAAATCTATGTTTTCATATAGTATACTATATTAGTATGTTATTGTTATAAAAATGCACCAAAATTGGGGTTTAGGGAGATGTAGAAAAGGTTCTGTAATGTACTGTATCCCATATTTCTCCAAATCACCAAGTACTGGATTCAATTTATGTGAATTCAAATTATGGGAGGTTTTTAGAGAACATAACCCTCAAACATATCGAGACCCAAGTGAATACCATATTAAGTACACGTTGGCCTTGCAAATTTGTGCTAATTGGTATCCCACCATGGCCAATTTTCCAAAAGGCAATAAATTGCAGAATAAGCATTAAAACAGGAAAATTTGACAATCATTTGCTTAAAAAACATAAATCTAATTGTACAACATATTTATTGGACATATTTTTAACACTTTAGTGAGTGCAAGGTCAACCTAACTTGAATAACTTTCGAATTGCATATTTAAAAAAAAAAAAAAAGAGCTTTGATACAGTAACAAAAAAACAATTTCCTTAATTTTTAAACTTATTATTTATTATTTTACTTCTGGAGGATGAATGTGAACACTTAATTAACACTAATACTGTAATACTAATAGAGGGAGATCTAGAATCCTACTAATTAAGAGGGTTTAATGTCTGAAAAAGCTGGAAGTCATCTTAGTAAAGTAAGCATTTGAGTCTGGTGCCAAAGGCTTCACAGACATGGATGTAAGTTGCACAAAATAATGTTTATTAGAGCTAAGTATAAATTAGATGGAGATTAAAATACCTTTGCTGGCAGTTATTGAACCCACTGAGTATATGGGACCTGAAATGTGAAGTTTAGGATGGGAGAAACAAGTAGGTGTGGGAGATGGACCTTATCAAGTTTATGTAAAATCCTTGCTTATAATGATAGCTTAGTTTAATAAATTCTATGTTTTACTTTGTGTTTAAATTATCCTAAAAATTTTCCAGTTAGTTGGAATGGCATACGGGGGGCGTAACTCTTAAGATGCTCTCATTAAAAAGCTCATTGTTCAGGAAGAAACTTTTACTATAAAACAAAAAATAATGAAATCTACATAAGTTCAGAAAGTTTCACACAATACTTTCCTCTTAACCACACATTAGGCATTGCGTGGAGAAACTAGCACAAGCGCCAACCAGGCCACAATCATGTTTATGCCTGCAAACAGTTCTTAAAACACCCTATTTTATGAGGTGATGGATGGAGTGCAAAAATGCCACTGACCATATGGTTAAAAGTCTATAGACAAAAACCTAACTCTGGTCCGCATCTCATCGAAGTGAAATTTTTACCAATTTTGCATAACCGAGTCTTAATGGTTATTCTTATTATTGCAAAAATTTTTGTAGTTATCATTGAATATTATTATTTTTAGTGTTATTGGTTCATACTGAAGGCATCTTTTATAATTTCTGGAAAGAAAACCAATGTAGAGTATATTTTTGTTATGATAATCATGATTGGAAAGCAAAAACATTTACTGTGAGCTTTTATTACAAAACATTAAGGAAACATTATTTTTGGTTAGGTTAGGTGAGGTTCACAGTGTCGTTTCAAAAAATTATTTGCATAATTTACAAACATTCAGCTTCATTTTAAAACAAACTGCAACATTCTAACTATAATACTTTCCATGTTATAAATTTCTAAATGTTGCAAACTTTGAATGCGTTTCCTGACAAAAAATGAGAATGGTGCTTGTGCTAGTTTCTCCATGCAAAGCTTTATTCATCCAAGGAGAATGATGTACAGTACACTGATTTCCACTTAGCCAGTTTTGAACACTTCCTGCATGTTATTTTGGTATACAGTATGTACAGTAATCAGGATGAAGGCTCCTATGCTTGTAAACAAGCAGGTACCGGGTACTCCTCTACTTCTCTGATTGGGCACTCCCCAAATTGGTTTTGTACTCCATCTTTGTTATGTTTGCATAATGTAGGCTCTTAGGGCCAGAGGTAACTTGTTTGTACAGGTATCAGAGTGTTTAATGTACGTGATAACTTATGCTTAAGGCCTTTGGGTCCATACATAAGTATTTCATACACCTCATATTTTGGGTTCTTGACCCCAAGGTCCAATACATTTATGTTATAAAGCTACAAAATTATTAAGTTCACCAAGATGTAAGTTTCACGGGTATGCGGACTTGATAGGTTCTATGGTAATTATCTTAATATCAATGTTATTCTTAAATCAATCAGATTATCCACCCAATAGTAAGGAAAATCATATTTAATAATTGAAAATAAAATTACATATTTTAGTCTCAAATATACTGTAAATTGAGACTAATTGTGCAACAATTGGTCTTTGATCAGAAAGATGTAAGTTACTGCATTTGAATTTCTAATAACTGTTCAAAGTTCTTTTAATTCACCTAGTGACTGAACACTTCATTTACCCATACTTTGACAGTAAATATGATGAACCTTTAAAAATCGTCACATAAAGCAGCTGCTGCACGGACTAGCAGCAGCAGCTGAAGCTTCCTGAACTTCCGCAGCAGAACAAAAATTAGAATGGTATAGCCTATCACACTCAACTATTGAGAGACAATGACCTTCACACTAATGAACACACAAAGACAAATACAAATTACCCTCTTTTTATGGAATACTGTAGATTCAACCCTGAAAAGTTTTATACACGTCAAAAAATTACATACTGTACTGTATAAAGAAACCCCTGTAGCTGTAGTCAACTACATACTGTATTATGTAGCCAGAGATACAACCCTGCTGTGAAAGGCCCCAACATTTCGATAAAATATAATTATTTTGTACTATTGACAACCAAAATTAATACACATAATTAGGGGCAAAAAATTCTTGTTTAATGGGAAACACTAGGAAGTGATCACCAACTGTGTCTCTTGGCCAGCAGTGTCAGTTACTCTGTTTACAAATATTTATGGTACTGTACCTGATACACCTCAGGATATTTGGTATTCATTATAAACACAAGCACATATATACTGTAATTTCATGTGTTCTTGTTTGAATATACAGTACTGTACCCAAATTTATAGCTGCATTGTCATAAACATTTGTAAGCAAAGGAAATTTCATCATTGGCTATTCCAGCCACCACCTGGCTGTCTCTGCCTCCATATTGTTGTGTTCACTTTCTTGGTTAAAATCAACAACTTTCAAACATTCTAATGACTGCTGTAATCATAGAATAAGTAAAATACTGTACATAATTACAGAACGTCTTTACTTAACAGAGACGGTGATAATTTCTGTGTAAGTTACCGTGGAATGAAAGGACAAAACAGCTTCAAGCAGTGTGGTGCAAAGTATGAAATACACTTTTGACAGATTTCATTATTGATAATTTGATTTCTTAAAATAAAATTTTTGTCCCTCATTTATAGAGAACATTTCTGTGAAATTATGTAAAAAGAGGGATAACTGTATCATACAGTACTTCAACTAATACTGCAGTACAAAACATGTACTGTAGTATTCAACAAGGGAGTCATTGCTAAAAATGTCTATTGACACATTATCTAACATCATAGCAACCCACTCAAAGCCTGGATACAAATTTTAATCTGATATCTAAAACAATAGCAAAGTTTGTTCATCTGTTTTCTGAAGTGAACAACCTGAAGCTTCCTAAACAGTCTTATGAATCTTATACTGTACCATTACTAAACCACTACCAGAAATATTTGTAAAATTGTACTTGCTTTTTCTTTCATGTTCATTCTCACTTCTCTTCCCCTCACATACTTTTTGCGAGTCATGTCCCCACTACATAGAATACTGCTTCACCAATACTCTCAATACCTAGCCACCCTCTTTGCTCTTAATAAGGTTTCCCATCTCTCAGTGTCACATTGCACATCCACCTCACCATTCTCATTTTAACTCATTCAAACATGTATAGCATCCACTTTAACTGCCCATTTTTCAGTCATACAATATCACACTTCTCACGCCAGTTGCATACACCTTTCCCCTGATGTGGAGGGAAGGTCCTCTTGCCATCAATAAAGGCAACACCCTAAACTTCTTCCAACCACTTGTGACTCTTGTAATTGCGCTTACTTCAGCACCCTCTCCAGCACTGATCATATTACCCAGGTAACAGAACTCACTGATCCAATCCAAGGGCATATCCCTAATGTTGAGTTTCTCCAGTCTTCCCAAGGCCACAAGATTGCCTGCACATACAGAGCACTTAAAGTAAGCAACATCCTGCAGTCTGCCATGTATTCCACTGCACCTTGTGTACCCACCTTCCACACTCACTGCACATTATTGAGTTGCTGCCAACACCTACCTTACAGACAGCACATCTCCACTTTCCACCATGGGTCCCTCACTTATGCCATTAATCAAAACTTTTTGTTTTTGCCACAATCACTCTCAGTCCATGTGACTCTATTCCATCCTTCCACTTCCTAAATTTTTCCACTGTTGCTTCAAGCGTGTACTACTATATGAAAAGCCTAAAATACATTCACAATAAGATATTATAAATTTTACAGCAAACCTTGAAAAATTTTGGACCAGAGAATACCCATTACTGTACATGTAAAACTATAGTTTTTGTGGTTTTGTACCCTGCTTTTAGAAGGATAATTAATTGAGCTTAAAGTGGATTAGACTATTAAATTCACTAACAACGATAACCATTAAATTCAAATATTGTGCAACAACTCTTCTTTGAGTTCCCCAATAAGGAGATGGTTTTTTGGAGAGCAAGTTTTTGGTTGCATGAGTACCAGTCTTGTATCATACCCAAGTGACTGTGCCAACATCAACCTATCTGTGTCTATTAGTTTCATACACAACTGACCTTGTTCAGTTTTGGGATTATTTTCATCATGAGTTTGGTCTGCAGCATGACCTAGCGTGAGGTATTCACTTAATGACAGAGACATGTTGCGATAAATCTGACTTCGAGGATAATCTAGAATGTGATTAGGCTGAACTCCCCCATAACAACATGGACTACAAATAAATGCAGCTTTTTGTTGGAGGCATTTGAGCATTACTAAGTCAGTTGCAACTCCACATGCATGTAGGGATACACCCACATTGAAACGTCCTTTAAAATAGTCAAGATTACACTGCACGAACTCAACATTTTTCAACTCCAGGGTTTCAACTCGCTTCTTTGCACGCAGTAAAGAAGCTTCCTTGTTTTCCACTAGTAACACTTTGCAATCTGGGAGAGAGTATGCCACAACAATGCCAACATGGCCGCCACCAGCACAAAAATCAACAATAACATCACCTGGTTTAGAAACAGACAGTATGGCAGAAACCACATTTTCAAGCTGTTGACATTTTCTTTGGAGTCTAGAGAGTGGAAGCTGACCCTCTTGTGGACTTACTGCAGATGGAAAAGAGGACCAAGAGAGTGAGATGGAGTCTGAGGGATGAACATCATAAGTGGGTTTGACAGCTGCCACTTCTAGGACCCCTAAAACTTTTTCTATATCTTCTTGATGAGTAAATGCCCTCCAGCGAGGCTTATACCTCTCGGGGTCACTCTTGTATATACTTTCGTGAGGAACTTCGGGGATTACAATTTCTAAGGTCGTCCCGGTCTTTCTCTCTGCAGATATTGAAGCCAAGGTTTTCTGGAGAACAGGCAAAGCCCTTTGAATATAGCTATTACTAGATATAAATTCATACCACTTTATGACTAAAGGAATAACATCTTCCAAAGTCATGTATATTTGCAATTTTGTTATAATTATGTGGAAACTAGCATAGAGTATAACATCAGCCAAAGTCATATCTAACCCTTCTGCAAATTTGTGTTCTAACTGTGGAAGCTGTGCAAGTTTTTTCTGACAAAGTTCCTGCTGCTCGTTCTTGTCATGAACGGTGTTTCTGATGTACTCCTGCTTCCTCTTGAGTGCATTATGCAGAATGGGTGGATGCTGCATGTGGTGTTCATACCTCATGATATCTCTCGGCAACTCTATCTTTGCAGTGTTACAATAACGATCCCTGAATACATTTTTTAGTGTTTCAAGTGTTTCTACTTCACAGAATTTGGTCCACACACTAACTTCTGCACAAGCCTGTAAACAACCTCCCCTAAATCCAAGGAGTTGCCGGCAATAATGTTCCGGATGTATTTCCAGCGTACGATTCAAAATAAACCTCAAAGAAGAGCATAAACCTGCAACACACCAAGGCTGTGATGTCATCAAAATAGCTGGTAACATACAATTACCTATCATATCTGGACAGTCTTTTTCCTCTTTTACTATTACTCCAAAACTCATGCAACTCACATCAATTGGAAACCAAGAATCACAGTCAAGATTCGCAGTTTTAAAATTTTCACCGCTAGAGAGTGGTGATGGTGAGGGTGTGTCAGAGGCCTCATTTTTATGCTGTACCAGTACCACACTGATCGCTGGGTCATGGCAATACTGTAGAGTGAAGAGAGCGATCAGTGTTTCACCAGGAACCAAAATTTCACCTTCAATTTTACCTCCTGTCAGGTAAAGGGTATCCTGTTCTTCCATATTTAATATTGGTATCTGAACTTGTCTCACTGAAAAATAAACATATTTATATATATAGAGTATATATAATTTATATAAAAGAACACGGGCAGTCCTTGCCATAAAAAAGGGATGTGTTCTGCAGAAGTCATGTGTAAAGTGAAAGTTATTTTTCTAAAGATGCACTGAAATGTTCTTACTGGAGGATACATTTCTATGGGCTGATTTTTAGACACCTTATGCAACCAAAACTTTAAACAAAAGACACAATAAGTTAATACAATACACACAATATACAGGTACTGTACTTTCGATCATAAATAAAATATAATACAACAGGAACTGAACTCATGCAGGCAGTAGGGAAGGAACGGATTTCAAAAGGTGCCAAACACCAGCAAACTGACCACCTAATGCCCCAACACTCTGCTATGCCATGGACAACCTACCTTAAACTGATGAGGTACTTAGAAGATATGGGTCCAAACGGCCTTGTGAACGAAGCTTTTGATACCTCAGGGCGGTCGATAAACCTGCTATAACACCAACAGCTGCAACCAGACCCTCGAAGAGCCAAAATCTAAGTTCCTCTTGCCACACTAACACTGCACAGCTATGAGAAGAGAAATGTGCAAAATGTATATCTAAAAACATTCCTATATCCTGTACAGCACTGTACTATACATACTAATGTGTTGGTCCTTTCCCTCCCTTGTGTTGGGTGGGTCAAGGAGCGCTGTGCTGTATATAAATATCAAAAGATGGAATAAAAGCTAAAAGAAAGTAAGACAACTGTCCAAAGTAACAGGAAAAAGCCATAAAAATACAAAGCTACAAAAATACAAATAAATGAATTCTTATTATCAGCTTTCCTACACAGTACTGTACAGTATTGTACACAAGATGAATTTTTAACATATTTACACATTTTTATTTGGAATAAAAACACATGCAAATGTGTGTAGTCAGCAAATAACGTATCTGCACCTTTTCAGTGTCACACAATCAGAAATACCAACCCTAGCGAATGAACACCACCACAGTCACAGTGATCATTTCGAAGGCTATCAGACCAGGTGTGAGGATAATTTTTTGCTGAATGTACATACAATAATTACAATACAGTACAGTATACAAATACACATATAAACACAAGGCCATGTCCATTCAGGAGCCGGTGCATGCCCAGTATTTGCCAACAGTGCGTGACAGAGACGTGACCGATCACCCGGGAGGCTAACAAGCCGATCAGTGGCGAAGAGGATAAAAGTAAAAAAGACAAGTCAGTCTTTAGTGGCCAATGGTTGAGGCTGATGTAGATCTCACCAGCCAGAACCCATACAAAGACCCCTACCCACCAACACCAGATGAGAAATCATGACTTCCAGCTACACCAAGTGAGAAAAAAGAACAGTTTTCCTTCGCACTTAAATGTGAAACTGTACTGTGCAAAGGGAAAAATCTTGCCGATGCTGCATAGCTCGCAAGACAATTTACAAGACCAACTCCCTAATAAGCACACTAATTAAACTATCAAATCTATAGTAAACTTGTATGTTCATTTCATGTTTCTTGTTTAGAGTATATTTTCAGCCCATTGGCTGCCATGTTCTTTCAATAAACCATTACAGTGTAATTACTATTATTATTATTAAACACATTGTTAAACACATAGGCACAGGAATTTCACTCTCCTATATACCTGCATATAGTACAGTATATGTATACACACTCAAGTGCACACATACTGTACATGTCCATATACCTGTACACTTGGAGAGGGAAGACTTGCAGTTGATTCACATGGATGCTACTTAACTTTTTTTGACTTACAATATTGATATCAGTAATAATTTATTTTCCCTTTCTTTAGGCTCAATCACTAAATATCTTTAACATCAGAGACAAGCTTAACCATTTCAATGTGATGATGAACGCTAAACATCTTCACCAACATCCACCAGTTAATAGATCCCCATACAACACCATAAACTACATGTTCACCTTTTTCTCTGAGATACAATGTGTGACATACCATTTAATGTTTTTATGACACTTAATTTTCCTACAATCATTTTTATTTACTTTTATGAGAAAATAAATCAGCACATCCTGGCATGCTGGGCAGCCTCACAGTGGGCTGCCTGGTAAAGGTCAACTATCAGTCCAGATCGGTCCGACTAATTACCCAAATGTAGCCAAATGTAGCCAAATATAGCCGGAATGAAGTCAAATAATGGTCCTAGATGAATAAATCGGACTGCCAATCACTTCTCGACTAGTATTTGGTGTCAGAAAGTCACAAAAAATTGGAAAACTTACTTTAATCTGAGTTAATAGATCGCGTGCATGTACCGACGGAGCGAGGAATTACCCAAATGTAGCCAAATGTAGCCGCAATGAAGTCAAATGATGGTCGTACAAGCGTAATTCGGGCTGTGAATCACTTCTCGATTATTATTTGGTGTCATAAAGTAAAAAAAAATTGGTTAACTTAATTTAATCTGAGTTGTGTTGTGTTAGGTTAGGTTAGATTAGATTAGGTTAGGTACATGCACTTGATCTATTAACTCAGATTAAATTAAGTTTACCAATTTTTTTTGACTTCGTGACACCAAATACTAGTCGAGGTTAGGTTAGGTTAGGTACATGCACGCGATCTATTAACTCAGATTAAATTAAGTTTACCAATTTTTGGTGACTTTGTGACACCAAATACTAGTCGAGAAGTGATTGGCAGTCCGATTTATTCATCTAGGACCATTATTTGACTTCATTGCGACTACATTTGGGTACATTTGGGTAATTAGTCGGACCTGTCCAGATACCAGAGAGCCCATCTAGTGCACCACTCATCACTACATGAAAAGATAAACTAATATGTATAAATAATGCATAACTAATGGGAAGATAATTCTGTGAGCAACACAAGTGAACTAGTGTACTGCACAAGTACTGTATTTTGATAAAAGCTGCAGGTGTTATAAATGTGTGGACATCTAAAAAAAATTCTTACCTGCGATATGCTTCTCCTGAAATATAGCAATTTATTTTTTGCCTGTAGCCTGTCAGCTGACACAGAGCTGGTACAATGATTGTTTTCTCAACACCTGTAACCAAGACAATCTATCTTAGTAACTGGTAAAGTTAGTACAGTCAACACTTTACAGGAAACTAATGTTACTGACGACCAAGTAATATTTTACATATACTGTACTGTTCGGTATTTATTTATTCATTAAGACTAACTTCTCCCTCACTGTCATCATGATTGTCCCAACTATCAAGTGGTGAAAAACCTTTGCTGGGTGTACATTACTTAATAGTGGTACAGTATTATGATTAAACATGGAAACACAGTTAACAGACACAGGTATCCTTTACTATATGAATGGTCTTAGGGTTCTTGAAAACCATTCTTTAAGTGAATAACATAACACATGGGAAAAATAGTTTAGTTCTCCAATGACAAGAAAACTCCAATGTCATACCTAAAAAAAATGGATCCGATTGTGAAATTTTTTGTAGCTGCCACAAAATAGTGACCCATGTGTGTGTGGTATCCCTAAAGTTACATATAGGTTTCATATGTGGCCAAAAAAAGTGGCTGAAGTGTACGGGCCCTAAGAATAGAATATTTGTAGAGTAACATTTGTATAGCAAGGGATACCTGTACATCTGTGTCAGCTTGTAACCCACACTTAGATTCAGAAAGTTATCCCAAAATATTTATGTCAGGAAAACTTGGGTTTAAAGAAAAGGTCATTGTTCCTATACAAATCATTTCCCCACTTGTCAGTCCCCTGGCATTATCGTCTTCACTTATTTAATGAGGTAAACAATTCTCAACTTTACTTAATCAAACTATGTCAAAAATAAAAGTGATTCAATTGACATAGGTAATGGAATAGTGGAAAATACACTTGACTGATACTGCACTCTAGATGCAGCGCACTGTACTAAGACATACCAAGATGTCCTTTATAATAGTTGCAAAAACATAAATAATTAATATAAAATTCTGAAATATTTTAATTATCACTAAAAACCATAAGACTATAATAAGGTACAAATGGAGATTCATATTAAAACATAAGTTGCTTGATTCTAACCTGAGCAACGCTGGCAGTCATCCAACAGGTCATAGTCCTCACTGATCCAGCATAAGTCATGGGTGTTGACCCTCGAGAGGAATTCTTCTGTCTGATCTTCCACAGGTGATACTGAACGGCTTTCAAGTATCAGAGCTACGAAGGTTAACCTGAAAACGTTTTGTCATTGATATAATGCAAACTTAACATACTTTTTGGGGACTGTACAATAATGTGAGGGGGGGAGGGGTACAGGAGGAATACCTACACTATGTACACTGTGTTCATGCTGAATCAATATGACTATTTGACTGAGTATCTCTATCTATCTACTCCATACGGTGACCCAGGTTGACTTACCCCAACAGAGTGGGCAACACACGTGCAGGAACACACTTCACTCTCATGTTACAACTCCTACACTCCACCTCACCACTACGGCTCCCTCAGTGCAGCTCCTCCAGCGCCTCGGGTCGGGAGTCAGTGTGTGGGGTCGTTCACAACACTCTACCAGACGTCTGAAATTGTTTTATTTTATATTGCTCTAAAACCCATAATCTCCGAATATATCTAATCATAAATATATTTTTTAAGCTTATCAGCTTTCTACTAACAAATAGTTCTATCTCACGATTTTTAATTGTAATTGCCAACTAGTTTCTGCCTAATTAAAGATCTATCTGTCTGTCCACGTATATCTATCTACCAGTCAATTCCTATATGTAATTTTCAAAACCAGAGAATCCCGAATTCACACAGCGGCTTAAATGAATTTCTGTATATAAGAAACTCATCATATAAACCCCGAATTGATCAATGGTACCGAACCACTAGAGTTAAAGGAACCCGCTTATTTAAGTAATGAGCCATATAATTTTTACCTATCATTTCACCACTTTAGCTTCCGGAGTCCGGGGAAGTTGTGACGTTTTGTATCTATGGTATATACTTATTTACAGTAGTTGACAATATATAAAGGAGACAATGAACGTGTTTGTGGAGGTAACCAACAGTGTTCGTGATCGTCTTGGTTTGTAAACGACGGAAAAAAGAAACTCAACACTGTCGCAGGTAATACTTTTACTTTTATGATCTATCCTCTTCGTCTTCACCACTGATCGGCTCGTTAGCCGCTTGGGTGATCGGTCATGTCTCTGTTACACACTGTTGGCAAGTACTGGGCATGCATCGGCTCCTGAATGTACCTGAACCCGCTCCAGTGTTGGTCAAGTCTTGTCTTGAAAGAGCTCACACTCAGGCTGCTGATGTTTCGTTCTGCCTCATTTACACACCATTGCAGGGTCTCAATTGTTCCTCTTACCTTGACAACACAACATACATATATTGTTTCTCATTCCTTATTTATTTATTTAGTTTTTGTATTTATTTATGGTTATTACTTTTAATATTTTATTTGTATTTTTATGTTGTTATTAATTTTTATTAATTTTAATAACAATAATAATAATAATGGTATTATTATTATTATTGTTATTATAATATTTTTGCCCCCAGACCCTGATGCTTACACCCTTGTTCCTTGCGCAACGGAAAGTAGTACAGTACATTATAATCAGTATTACTGACGTAAATTTCCCACCTTAAGTCAAAATGACCCATTTTTACTAAAGAAAACAAATAAGCCGTCATGCAGAAATAGCGAAGCAGCACGCTGCCCTATTTTCCTCAGAACAAAAGGCCACACTGGCAGAGTGGAAGGTTCCGCGGAATAATAGTCTTCACCTGTCAACAGTGAGTGAACTTGACGACCATTTGTTGAGAATCCAAAAACGTTTACATACCTCTCAAATAACCATCCGTCGCTGTAATAGAAGGTAAACTATTGTTTTAAGCTAGCCCAGGACACTGTAATAATGTATAAAATAGTTATATACCCTGTATAGTGTAAAGTTCAGGCAAAAGTTTTGGGAGGTCCTACCTGTCTGTCTTTTGCAATTACTATACCATCTTTCACGCGCCATGTTGACGTCCGGCGGATGTGGAAACAACCCTAAATCCCTAAGTATATTACTGTATTATATAATCTGTTTATAAAATGAACCTATCCTAATCAACCTAAACCTGAGCTTCACCTAAACATTATTATATGATTTCCACGTAATCTCCCATAACATTCTGAAGTTCCCAGACCCAGTTGGCGGCAGTTAAACCTGACAACACAACATGGGCAGCTGAGGTCTGCTGGGTGGGGGTAAACTAATCCAAATGGGCTTATAGTTTTGTTCGTGTTTATTATTTTACGAATATGACTATGAATCTGAAAACGGAGGTCAATTAGATAATATTGTCTGGTATTGATAACATTGTAATACTGGATTCATATACCTGTGCTGACTGTACTTATACGCAAATTAAACTCAATAACACGTGAAATAAAATAAAATAATCTGTGTGCTGTTATATATCTGTGTATTAGTGTATATAGTGTCACGAATTTTAAACATGTGGTCATGAACAAATTGCAGTGTGTTCCCAGTGAATTTATATAGAGAAGTATTAGTAATTCTTAGATGTTGGGTATGTGGAGGGAATTTTATGAGCGCCATTGTACAGGACCAACACAGTGCTCTAATTCTTGTGTCTATTTCGTCATTAACTACTTTACATTCTTGTGCGTCTTGACTATACCTCGAGTAGCAGGAAGGGTGGCGTGAGGGTGGTTGGCATCATTCACTAACTCTTATACTCCTGCATAAAGACCCATACACCCTTAGTCATTTATGAAGTCATATATATAGTGTTTAAACTTCTAGGATCAATTCAAAAGTTATACACAACTTTGAAAAGGGTTTTTATACGAGTTACGACGAATCACTTCAAACTCAACCAGATAAATGTCTCGCACACAAAAGGCGGTAAATTTATGGTGTTTAAGTGTTAATATAGATTTACCTAACGTAGAGAGTGATGGATCTGAGGTACAGTCCACACACCTTGTTTATATAATGTAGAGACAAGATTATAACGTCTTTCTTAGGATGTTGTCCTTGGGATGAGTCGACTTGATGCGTGTCACAGACTTTTAGCAATGTTATCCCTAAAACGTAGCAGTAAGAATTCGTTTTCTTTGGTAGTGTCCCAAATATATATTATTTCAGGGATAACTTAAGCAATACCACCACCACCATTACTCCCCCCCCCTTCCTCCACCATAACCCTCTGCCCTCACCACCTACTGACGGGGGTTTAAGAGTGTTCAGCGTGTGTGTGTGTAGTACCGAACACAGCCCCACAGAGCTTGATTCTCCACCTGTGTGAAGTTACTGTCTTAAGTGACCTTACCTTGAACACCGTCTCTCTCTCTCTCTCTCTCTCTCTCACACACACACACACACACACACACACACACACACAGACACACACACACACACACACACACACACACACACACACACACACACACACACACACACACACACACACACACACACACACACACACACACACACACACACACCAGTCGAGCCAAAACTTTGCTCTTGGTCCCGTTCAAGTGACTTAAGATCCAGTGTTTAAAATCCCCGACGTCAGGAGCACTAAGCCGTTGCCTCTGTTGTCTCTCTGTTGTTTCTCTGTTGTCTTTCTGTTGTTTCTCTGTTGTCTTTCTGTTGTTTCTCTGTTGTCTCTCCGTTGTCTCTCGGTTTTCTCTAAGTTCTTTCTGTTTTGTATCTGTTTTCTCTCTCCTTCTCTCTCTCATTTTCTCTCTTTTTTTCTCTCTCTCTCTCTGTTTTCTTTAAGGATATTACACACTGGTCCCCTGATTTACGGCCCTTTATTAACTCCTCTGTGTGTGTGTGTGTGTGTGTGTGTGTGTGTGTGTGTGTGTGTGTGTGTGTGTGTGTGTGTGTGCGCGTGTGTGTGAGGGGAGGACTATAGATGTCTCTCTCTCTCTCTCTATATGTGTCCAACTCTCTCTGTCAGGTGCTGTGTGTGTGTGGGGTGGATGAAGGGGTATAGAAACCTCAAATAAAGAAGGGAAATAGAGAGAAGGGTGATAAAGGAAGGGTGTGGATATTGACATGTGATAAGGGTTTGTGAGGAAATATAGTGATGTATATTTTTGAGGTGTTGTGGTGTTGTTTGTATTAGGTTTGGTTTGATTTGGTTAGGTTAGGTTACGTTAGGTTTGGTTAGTTTAGGTTATTTTATGTTGGGTTATGTTATGTTGGGTTAGGTTAGGTTATGCTATATTATGTTATGTTAAGTTGGCTTATGTTGAGTTAGGTTAGGTTAGGTAAGGTTAGGTTAGGTTAGGTTAGGTTAGGTTAGGTTAGGTTAGGTTAGGTTAGCTTAGCTTAGCTTAAGATAGATTAGAGTAAGGTAAGCTAACCATACTTAATATAACGAATTATACCTAACCTAACTTAACCTAACCTAATCTAATCTATATACATACCGGTATTCATATATTCATCAGATGCTGTGTATGCTCCAGTTTGCTATGGCAGGCAGCCTCGTAGGAGATGGGAAACTCATGTTATATTATTAGTTTATGAAGGTGTGTGTGTGTGTGTGTCTGTGTGTGTGTGTATTTGTTTATGTAGGTGTGTACATGTTTCTGTATGTATGTATTTATGTATGTGTTCAACGTGTATGTGTTCGTCCACACATTTAAATATCTATTATCATCCACCATCACTGTAATAACACACACACACACACACACACACACACACACACACGGTACAAGAGGTGTTAGACTCCCAAATTACCTGACGGAGGTAGGAACTCCTGCCAGGGGTTCTTCAAGGCTCGTACGTCAAATCATTCCTCCTACCTGGTGATGTGAGAGCGGGGGATCTTACTGCCTCAATTAACTACACAAACATTAGATTCTCAAACGCTCTTACGGCTTATTATTCCTCTTGGGGATATTACAATGCTATAACTGACTCACTTGAAGCATTAAAGATGGAGGTCAAGATGGCGTCAAACTGTGTCACTGACCTTACTGTAATGAGATGGGGGGGGTTCACGTCCGGATATTTGAGAATTAACATCCAATATAGCTTGTTTCGGGGGTCGTGGCCGTGGTAGGGGGGGAGGGGGGGGAGAGGGAAGAGGAGGGGTGGGAGAGGAGTGGAGGGAGTTAAAGGGGTGAAGGCTGGTGTGTGTGTGTGTGTGTGTGTGTGTGTGTGTGTGTGTGTGTGTGTGTGTGTGTGTGTGTTTAGGAAGGAGGGAGGGAGGATGTGTTGGAAGGAGGGTGGGAAGATGTGTGGGAGGAAGAAGAAGGAAGGAAGTGTGGGAGGGAGAGAGGAAGGAAGGAAGGAAGGAAGTGTAGGAGAGAGGGAAGGTTGAGAAAATTGAATTCGCAGTAAAAATCGTGGACATAGCAGGAGTGACAGTGAGGGCGAGGGTAGTGTCTGGTCCATGAAGGCGGCGTTAACGTGGCGTGGTGGCGAGGCGTGGCGTGGCGAGGCGTGGCGAGGCGTGGCGAGGCGTGGAAATAAAACACAGTAATATGGCACCACCAGAAGATAATTATATAATGTCAATGTTTACTAGGGCGGGGCATCTGTATATTAACCTGTTTGTTTCTCAGTGTCTCTCCTCTGTCTCTCAGTGTCTCTTGTCTGTCTATTCGTCTCTCTACTGTATGTCTCTATCCGTCCGTCCGTCCGTCCGTCCAATAGTCTCTCCCGGATATAGAAAACGTTAACATACAGGACTGATACAATATATCTATTATACTCCGCGATTATATTCCTTGTTTATCCTTGTTTGGTTAGGTTTTATGAAGTAGATATTGTCCGGAGAGTTTTAAGAGTTTTTTTTTTTGTCCTAGTGGGTATCGTCCAGATGGTTTTATTGAGTGGGTATTGTCCGGACAGTTTTATTAAGAGAGTTTTGCCCAGACGGAATTAAGAGGGTTTTATCTGGATGGTTTTAAGAGGGTTTTGTCCGGACGGCATTATTAAGTTGATATTGTCCGGACAGTTTTACTAAGGGGGGGAATTATAATCAAGTGTTACTCAAGGGGTTGAATACTAGTACTCAGGGGGTTAAGTCCTCGTACTCAAGGGTTAGGTCAGGACTCAAGGGGGGTTAAATATTAGTAGTTAAGGGTTAGGAAGGGGTTAAAGTCCTCGGGGTTAAGGAGATAACGGTTAAGTCCTAGTATACAAGGTGTTAAAGAAGGCGGGTCAGGTCACAGCAGCGGAGAGAGAGAGAGAGAGAGAGAGAGAGAGAGAGAGTTGGTTTTCTCTCGCTATTAAAGTTGACTTGTTGTGACGTCCCTAATCTCTCTCTGTCTCTTCTTCTTCTCCTTCTTCTTCTTCTTCTTCTTCTTCCATCATCTCTTTCCCAATCTTTTCTTATTTTCTTATTTGCTAATCACTCTTCCATTCCTTCCTTTTCCTTCTCCTCCTCAACATCATCATTATCACCTTCCTATCTTCCGTCCGTTTAATCCACTCCTCCTCCTCCTCCTCCTCCTCCCCTCTTCCTTAACACCTCATATCCAATCCACCCCCCCTCCTCCCCCTCCTCCCCCTCTTCCTCCTCCTCCTCCTTGAGCCGATTTCCACTAGCCGCCCTCCTTCTCTCGCCTCTGACACGGCTGTAAATTCTCAAAGTGTTTTATCTCTGATCTGGCTTGCTGCTGGTCTGTGTCTGTCTGTCTGTCTGTCTGTCTGTCCCTTAATGTCTCTGTTGATCTCTGTCTGCGTTTGCCCATATCTGTTTCTCTGTGAACTCCGCCCGTCTCATTTTTCACTCTGTCTCTGTCTGTCTGTCTGCCTGTCTGTCTTTATTTCTGTCTGTCTGTGTTTACCTGTCCATCTATTTTAATTGTCTGTTTGTCTGTCTGTCTGTCTGTCTTTCTGTCTGTCTGTCTGTCTGTCACTGTCTATAAAAATCTTGCCTAATTATCCCATATCATTAATTCACTGGAGGTTCACCACACAATGAAGACCTAATTTACAACATCTTGAGACAATACCTGTACGTGTCTATATTATCTCCAGGTGTATCTCTCTAATTAAGGTTTCCACATAAACTCTAAACTATTCAAGGATTTCTTATCATCGTAACGACCTAACCTAACCTTACCTAATCTAACCTAACTTAAGACCGTATTGTGCTACTCAAGTACCTTTTCCTTGGCTCTCCTCTTTCCTCAGATTATTTTTCCTCTCGTGTTTTCTCGGCCGACAGTGATCCAATATAGAATTACTGGAGCTGGGACCCACGACGTGTGCCAATATAGACAAGGGAGCCTATGGTGGTGGTGGTGAGGGGGGTGATGGTGATGGTGGTGGTGGGGGGTGATGGTGGTGGTGGTGGTGGGGGGTGGTGGTGATGGTGGTGGTGGTGGTGGTGGTGAGGGGGTGATGGTGGTGGTGGTGGTGAGGGGGGGTGATGGTGGTGGTGGTGGTGGAGGGGGTGATGGTGGTGGTGGTGGTGAGGGGGGTGATGGTGGTGGTGGTGGTGAGGGGGGTGATGGTGGTGGTGGTGGTGGTGGTGGTGGTGGGGGTGGTAGTGGTAGTGGTGGCGAGGGTCGTGATGGTGGAAAAATCAACAGCATGACCCTGAGTTATCACGTTCTTCAAGGGGACCCGGAAAGTTAGGCAAGATTTACCCAACAGTGTTTGGACTCTGTGTGTGTGTGTGTGTGTGTGTGTGTGTGTGTGTATGTGTGTGTGTGTGTGAAGGAAATAGTTTGAGTCACCGGTTCTCAAAAAAGGTTAAAATTCCACAATCGAATCACCCCATCCCCGCCCCCAAAAATAAAAAATAATAATAATAAAATCTTACTTTCATTATTTTTACTTACACTGTTGACAAAAAATAATAATAGCTGACGATTATGTGTGAACAAAGTTTTAATTGGAGTGTCTAAGTTTACATGGAAAAATAATTATGATACCTCTTATTAATACGGTGTATATTACGGATTTTACTTAATTTGCATACGTCCCAAAAAACCCACCTAGATTCCCCCAAAAAAAAAACTCTCCCCTGCTCTACCGTTTGCTCTACACTCTATTGGTATTTTGTTAGGAAGCGATGCTCTTTGCTATGCACTCTGCTCTGCCATGTACCCCGGCGCCTCTCTCTGCCACACATCAAGAGAACTCGGGACGTAATTTTGGCCTGACGAATTTCTGGCCCCTGTTGGTTGTGAGAGAGAGAGAGAGAGAGAGAGAGAGAGAGAGAGAGAGAGAGAGAGAGAGAGAGAGAGAGAGAGAGAGAGAGAGAGAGACTGTCAGCCCACGATTTTTCTTTTTGTTGTATCTACAGTCACTCAGGTCAACAACAACAACAACAAACAATTAAATAGAGTAAATTTTGTCATTATATTTTACCAAAAGAGAGAAAACAAAATTTCTCTGGCTATTTTCCGAGTCTACGATTTTTTTTTTGTTATGGAAATTATACCGGAAATTAACCTGTCTGGTGAAGGAGGTGGGGGGGGGGTCGACGATACCAACAACAAAACAAAGAAACAAAAACACTGGTGGACAAACGGAATATTAATATTTTGATGTAAATAATCTCAAGCGTTCGTGGATTCATCTGGATTGTTACAAAAACGGCCTCTTGTTGTTTTGTGTTTCTGCTGTATCGACTTGTTGGTTTTCTAAAGACTCAAATACAATATATCTTATGACAGGAAACTTTTAGAAAATTTAGAACAATAAAAATCGAGTTGTTCTTACCTCCTTTAATTACTCCAGTCTGTTGATTATTGTTGAGGTGCGGTGGCTGAGTGGAAAACAACACTCGCCACTTTTTCTAAGGATCACTGGTTCACGCTTGGTTCACCTCCAGGTCAACCCAGCTGTGAATGGATACCTGAGACGGCTGAGTGGAGTGGCCGGTCACGCTGTCTGTCTGTCTGTCTGTATCTGTCTATCTGTCCCGTATTAAGGTGTTTAGATCCAGTTGTTATTTACGACTTAATAGTTCACATGAAGATAAGGCACCCTAGCTTATTTCATCCCAGTGTTATTTAAAAACCATACAACATAGATACCAAAATTCAGGTCCACTTCCGGGTTAGGTCTTTAGGGTCGGAGGTAGGGTAAGGAGGAGGGTGGGGGGAGGGGGGGGGGTATCTCACTCCTAACACGTGCTCTTAAAGTGGCAGTTACAGATCACACCTTGAGGGCTTGTTTCAATGGTGGTTGTGACGTCACGGGCGAGAATGGCGTCATCAGCGTGAGGTTATCTGAGATTGCTCGACTTAACGCCCTCTGAGACGTCTATGGATACTCGTTCATTATCTCTTGTCTCATATATTCTCTATCTCTCACGTTATCTTTAATTATGTTATGTTACGTGTGGTTAGGTTAGGTTAGGTTAGCGTAAGAGTGGTTAACCGGATACACACGGCTGGTTTTGTTGGGCGGGTACTACGGGTTCTGAGGAGCGGGTCATAACGTCCAGAGTTCCCGGGAAAATGTTGTTTTGATGAGGCAGCATCGACTTAACTACAGATTAAGGACTTGGCCAGACACCGCTCGGTATTGGGGATATCTGGTGGACCTGGTATAAGGGACCCGGTAGGGGTCCGTGGTAGGGGACCCGGTGGTTGGGGACCCGGTGGTAGTGGACCCGGTGGTAGAGGGACCCGGTGGTAGGGGACCTGGTGGTAGGGGACCCGGTGGTAGGGGGACCCGGTGATAGGTGGACCCGGTGGTTGGGGGACCCGGTGGTAGGTGGACCTCGGTGGTAGGGGGACTCGGTGGGACCCGGTGGTAGTGGACCTGGTGGTAGGGGACCCGGTGGTAGGGGACCCGGTGATAGGTGGACCCGGTGGTAGGTGGACCCGGTGGTAGACCCGGTGGTAGGTGGACTCGGTGGTGGGGACCCAGTGGTAGGGGGACCTGGTGGTAGGGGATCCGGTGGTAGGACCCAGTGGTAGGTGACCCAGTGGTAGGTGGACCCAGTGGTTGGGGACCCGGTGATAGAGGGACCCGGTGGTAGGGGACCCGGTGGGGGGGACCCGGTGGTAGGTGGACTCGGTGGTAGGGGACCCAGTGGTAGGGGGACCCGGTGGTAGGGATCCGGTGGTAGGTGGACCCAGTGGTAGGTGGACCCAGTGGTAGTGGACCCAGTGGTTGGGGGACCCGGTGATAGAGGGACCCGGTGGTAGGGGACCTGGTGGTAGGGGACCCGGTGATAGGGGACCCGTGTAGTGACCCGGTGGTTGGGGACCCGGTGGTTGGGGACCCTGGTAGGTGGACCCAGTGGTAGGGGACCCAGTGGTAGGTGGACCCAGTGGTAGGGGACCCAGTGGTAGGTGGACCCGGTGGTAGGTGGACCCAGTGTGGTGGACCCAGTGGTAGGGGACCCAGTGGTAGGGGACCCAGTGGTAGGTGGACCCAGTGGTAGGTGGACCCGCAGGTGACCCAGTGGAGGACCCGGTGGTAGGGGGACCCAGTGGTAGGTGGACCCAGTGGTAGGTGGACCCAGTGGTAGGTGGACCCAGTGGTGAGTGGGGACCCAGTGGTAGGGGACCCAGTGGTAGGGGACCCAGTGGTAGGGGACCCAGTGGTAGACCAGTGGTAGGGGACCCAGTGGCAGGTGGACCCGGTGGTAGGGGGACCCGTGGTAGGTGGACCCGGTGGTAGGTGGACCCAGTGGCAGGTGGACCCGGTGGTAGGTGGACCGGTGGTAGGGGACCCAGGCAGGACGGGCCAGTGGTAGGGACCCTGGTAGGTGGACCCAGTGGTAGGTGGACCCGGTGGTAGGTGGACCCAGGGTAGGTGGACCCAGTGGTGGGGGACCCAGTGGAGGTGGACCCAGTGGTAGGTGGACCCAGTGGTAGGTGGACCCAGTGGTAGGTGGACCCGGTGGGGGGTGACCCAGTGGTAGGTGGACCCAGTGAGGTGGACCAGTGAGGTGGACCCGGTGGTAGGTGGACCCAGTGGTAGGGTGGACCCAGTGGTAGGTGGACCCAGTGGTAGGTGACCCAGTGTAGTGACCCAGTGGTAGGTGGACCCAGTGGTAGGTGGACCCAGTGGTAGGTGGACCCAGTGGCAGGTGGACCCGGTGGTAGGTGGACCCGGTGGTTGTGGGACCCGGTGGTTGGGGACCCGGTGGTAGGTGGACCCGGTGGTAGGTGGACCCAGTGGTAGGGGGGACCCAGTGGTAGGGGGACCCAGTGGGGTGGACCCAGTGGTAGGTGACCCAGTGGGGGACCCGGTGGTAGGGGACCCAGTGGTAGGTGGACCCAGTGGTAGGGGACCCGTGGCAGGTGGACCGGTGGTGACCAGTGGCAGGTGGACCCGGTGGAGGGACCCAGTAGGGGACCCAGTGGTAGGGACCCAGTGGTAGGTGGACCCAGTGGTAGTGGACCCGGTGGTAGGGGACCCAGTGGTAGGACCCAGTGGTAGGTACGAGGGACCCGGTGGTAGGGGACCCGGTGGTAGGACCCAGGGGGACGGTGGGGGGACCCAGTGTAGGGACCCGGTGGTAGGTGTGACACAGACTTAAAATATATAATAAAAATATACTCATAAAAAGGTTTAAACTAAAAACTCATCCAGTGACAAAACTTAGAAGAAATATTTAGATAAAGATTCAATTCGTGACAAAAAAAAATCAATATAAAATGACTTTGAGAGTATTATACGCATGTTACCTATAATATTACTGTAGGTAGGGTGTTATAGAGGCCGGGGGAGGAGGGAAGATTTACTGTATGCTTAAGAATTACTGGGTTAGATTAGTTATAGTTAGGTGAACGAGATTAACATTAGTTTAAGTTAAGCCGAGGCTGTTTGATTCAGTTTATTTACTTCGATAAATATAGACACGCGTAGGTAGACACAGACATACATACACAGACACACACCTACATACACAGACACACACCCCACATACACAGACACACACCTACATACACAGACACACACCTACATACACAGACACACACCTACATACACAGACACACACCTACATACACAGACACACACCTACATACACAGACACACACCTACATACACAGACACACACCTACATACACAGACACACACACCTACATACACAGACACACACCTACATACACAGACACAAGTGGTAGCGACAGTCTGGTGATATGTATAGACATTGTTAGTTATCTTTTCTCCGTATATAAAGTGAGCGTCAGATACTCCTTGTGGTGGAGGGAAGTTAGGGAGTTAGTCTTCTTAACTCTGTGTTCCTTGATGACCGCTGTGAGAGAGAGAGAGAGAAAGAGAGAGAGAGAGTACATAACTCAACGAGACTCATTTTATTATTATTATTATTATTATTATTATTATTATTATTATTATTAGTATTATTATTATTAGTATTATTATTATTGTTATTATTGTGTGTATAGGTATATGTTCGTTTATTTATATATACTGTATATGTGTGTTTCAGAGTGTGTGTGTGTGTGTGTTCGTGTATGTATGTGTGTGTTCCTATAACCAAATTACTAAGTCACTGTCATGCAAAGGCCCAGAGGAAAGAAAGATAATCTCTCTCTTGTCCTGTCATGTCATGGAGCCTGTTACTCTGTCATGTCATGGAGCCTGTCACTCTGTCATGTCATGGAGTCTGTCACTGTCATGTCATGGAGCCTGTCACTCTGTCATGTCATGGAGCCTGTCACTTTTTAATTATCGTTCATGCACACACACACACACACAAAACAAATGACCACACCTGTTTCCTCCACACACCTGTAATACACCTTAATTAACTTAATATTCTCTGTCGTAAGTTCCCCCCTCAGCTGATATACATGACGTCATAACTTTCCCAATCAGCTGATGTAGATGACGTCATAACTTTCCTAATCAGCTGATCTAAATGACGTCATAACTTTTCTTCTCATTAGCTGTTCTAGATGACGTCAACAGTACAGCCCGCTCGACCCACAGATTAGGTTATGGGTGGGTTATGTTGGGGTTAGGTTAGGTTAGGTTAGGTTAGGTTAGGTTAGAAGCGCCTCCTCCTGCCTCCTCATTAACAAAGCGAGGGAGAATCATTGCCTCACACATATCAGAAAACGGGAACTCTGTGTTAATTAAAGTTTTCCATTAAACATAGAAAACGTACGACCGCCTCGAGAATTTTACCGCCTCCGTGTATCAGAAACTGTGCCAATTATTTTACCTTGATAATTATAGATATACATAGAGAGTTAGAAATAAGAAAGGACTGACGTGTAGGGAGTTAGAAATAAGAGGGGACTGACGTGTAGGGAGTTAGAAATAAGAGGGGACTGACGTGTAGGGAGTTAGAAATAAGAGGGGACTGACGTGTAGGGAGTTAGAAATAAGAGGGGACTGACGTGTAGGGAGTTAGAAATAAGAGGGGACTGATGTAGGAGTTAAAATAAGAGGGACTGACGTGTAGGAGTTAGAAATAAGAGGGGACTGACGTAGGAGTTAGAAATAAGAGGGGACTGACGTAGGAGTTAGAAATAAGAGGGACTGACGTGTAGGATAGAAATAAGAGGGACTGAAGTGTAGGAGTTAGAAATAAGAGGACTGACGTGTAGGAGTTAGAAATAAGAGGGGACTGACGTGTAGAGTTAGAAATAAGAGGGGACTGACGTGTGAGAGTTAGAAATAAGAGGGGACTGACGTGTAGGGAGTTAGAAATAAGAGGGGACTGACGTGTAGGAGTTAGAAATAAGAGGGGACTGACGTGTAGGAGTTAGAAATAAGAGGACTGACGTAGGAGTTAGAAATAAGAGGGACTGACGTGTAGGAGTTAGAAATAAGAGGACTGACGTGAAGACTATGTGGCTGTGTCTATGTGATCAAACTTTACTACGTGGAAAAAAAACCCGAGCTTATCTTGTTCACAGGGGGCGACTTTATGCGATGGTGGTACTCAAACAAACGCGTGGATAAACAGAAAGAAAAATATGAATAATGTGATGTGTTTTCCTTAGTAAGACGACGTAATTCATCTCTCTCTCGTCTGAGGTACTCGACACAGAGACTTCAGCTTCTACCGCAGCAAAACCTTGATCGAGGAAGGAGGAGGGGAGAGTGGGGAGAGAGGGGAGTGGGGGGGAGGGAGAGGTCGGGAAGGAAAGGAGAGGTCGTGGATGAAGAGAGGATAGAGAGGTACCCCAAAAGCCAATCATAACCTGGGAATAGGTGGAGTAGAAGAGGGGGTGGGTAGGGGTAGGGATGGATGAGGGTTGGTGGAGGGGTGGGGATGAGATGAGGGGTTAGGAGGGGATGGATAAGGGGGGGTAAGAGGGGTGGGGATGGGGTGAGGGTTAGGAGGGGGTGGGATGGATGAGGGGTTAGAGGGGGTGGGGATGAGATGAGGGTTAGAGGGGTAGGGGATGAGGGGTTAGGAGGGGTAGGGATGGGATGAGGGGTTAGAGGGATGGATGAGGGGTTAGGAGGGGGTAGGGATGGATGAGGGGTTAGGAGGGGGTGGGGATGGAATGAGGGTTAGGAGGGGTGGGGATGGGATGAGGGGTTAGGAGGGGTGGGGGATGGGATGAGGGGTTAGGAGGGGGTGGGATGGGATGAGGGGTTAGGAGGGGGTGGGATGGGATGAGGGGCTAGGAGGGGTGGGGATGGATGAGGGTTAGGAGATGGTAGGATGGGATGAGGGGTTAGGAGGGGGTAGGGGATGACGAGGTTAGGAGGGGGGGGGATGGGATGAGGGGTTAGGAGGGGGTGGGGGATGGGATGAGGGGTTAGGAGGGGGTGGATGGGAGAGGGGTTAGGAGGGGGTAGGGATGGAATGGGGTTAGGAGGGGGTGGGGATGGGATGAGGGGTTGAGGGGTGGGGATGGGATGAGGGGTTAGGAGGGGGTGGGGATGGGATGAGGGGTTAGGAGGGGGTGAGGATGGATGAGGGGTTAGGAGGGGTGGGGATGGGATGAGGGTTAGGAGGTGGGGATGGATGAGGTTAGAGGGGTAGGGATGGATGAGGGGTTAGAGGGGGTGGGGATGGATGAGGGGTTAGGAGGGGTAGGGATGGGATGAGGGGTTAGGGAGGGGTGGGGATGGATTAGGGTTAGGAGATTGTAGGGATGGGATGAGGGGTTAGGAGGGTGAGGATGGGATGAGGGGTTAGGAGGGGGTAGGGATGGGATGAGGGCTAGGATGGTAGGATGGATGAGGGTTAGGAGGGGGGGGATGGGATGAGGGGTTAGGAGGGGTGGGGATGGGATGAGGGTTAGGAGATGGTAGGGATGGATGAGGTTAGGAGGTGGGGGGGGTGGGATGGATGAGGGTTAGGAGGGGTGGGGATGGGATGAGGGGTTAGGAGGGGGTAGGGATGGGATGAGGGTTAGGAGATGGTAGGATGGATGAGGGGTTAGGAGGGGTGGGGATGGAAGAGGGGTTAGAGGGGGTGGGGATGGGATGAGGGGTTAGGAGATGGTAGGGATGGGATGAGGGGTTAGGAGGGGGGTGGGGATGGGATGAGGGTTAGGAGGGGTGGGGGATGGATGAGAGGTTAGAGGAGGGGGTGGGATGGGATGAGGGGTTAGGAGGGGGTGAGGATGGGATGAGGGGTTAGGGGAGGGGTGGGGATGGGATGAGGGGTTAGGAGGGGGTGGGGATGGGATGAGGGGTTAGGAGATGGTAGGGATGGGATGAGGGGTTAGGAGGGGGTGGGGATGGGATGAGGGGTTAGGAGGGGTGGGAGGAAGGGTTAGGAGGGGGTGAGGATGGGATGAGGGGTTAGGAGGGGTGGGGATGGGATGAGGGTTAGGAGGGGTGGGGATGGGATGAGGGGTTAGGAGGGGTGGGGATGGGATGAGGGGTTAGGAGGGGTGAGGATGGGATGAGGGGTTAGGAGGGGGTGTGGGAGGGATGAGGGGTTAGGAGATGGTGGATGGGATGAGGGTTAGGGGGGGGGGATGGAAGGGTTAGGGAGGGGGTGGGGATGGGATGAGGGGTTAGGGAGATGGTAGGGATGGATGAGGGGTTAGGAGGGGTGGGGATGGGATGAGGGGTTAGAGGGGGTGGGGATGGGATGAGGGGTTAGGAGGGGGGTGAGGATGGGATGAGGGTTAGGATGAGGGGTTAGAGGGGGTGGGGATGGATGAGGGGTTAGGAGGGGGTGGGGATGGGATGAGGGGTAGGAGGGTGGGGATGGGATGAGGGTTAGGAGGGGGGGATGGGGAGAGGGGTTAGGAGGGGGAGGATGGATGACGGGTTAGGAGGGGGTGAGGATGGGATGAGGGTTAGGATGAGGGGTTAGGAGGGTGGGGATGGATGAGGGGTTAGGAGGGGGTGGGGATGGGATGAGGGTTAGGAGGGGGTGGGGATGGATGAGGGTGAGGGGTGAGGATGGGATGGGGTTAGGATGAGGGTTGAGGGGGTGGGGATGGGATGAGGGGTTAGGAGGGGGTGGGGATGGGATGAGGGGTTAGAGGGGGGGGATGGGATGAGGGGTTAGGAGGGGTGATGGGATGAGGGGTTAGGAGGGGTGAGGATGGGACACGGTTAGGAGGGGGTGAGGGATGGGATG